AGAGAGAGAGAGAGAGAGAGAGAGAGAGAGAGAGAGAGAGAGAGAGAGAGAGAGAGAGAGAGAGAGAGGATTCGAAAAGCTTGCGTAACAATTGTGCGAAGAGCGTCGCAGCGATATTCGTAAAACCGTAAAAATGAATCTGACCGTACGACGAAATTTCAAATGGCCAATCCCGCGCATATTGTCATCCAACACTCGCCACGAGAAAACAAAAAGCGGTTTGCTGCTTTTCGTTTGCGCGCAAACAACTATACGAAACGATAGATAACATTTTTTTTTTTTTTTATTCGCGCATCGTATCGTTGTAAAGGCCGTTTTAGTTTGGATTCTAGTCGAAACCTAAAAAAAGAAGAGATCACAGGAACGTGTGAAAAGCTGACGAAAGCCATGACAATTGTTACGCGTTCAACTCTTTTGTGAAAGCAATCGAATGAAATCTATTTGCCAATAATCGGTATTTTCTTGCAAGTTACGCTACGAAACTATGTATAACTAGACGTCGATTGGAAAACGCGTAAATTTTTTCAAAAATTTCGTTTGGACAAACGCAAATGCCTACGTAGAAACGCGTTAATATTACGATAGAAAGAAAGGAATACAAAGCAACTCGTTTCGCGTCGAAACTTGGCTCGAACGGCATCTAGAGCAGAAAAAGTACGCGATAAAGAAATATGTACTATGTTTCGCGGCGTTCCGCTCAACGAAAAATCTCGCGAGATTTTCGCGCAAACAGAGACTGTGTCTCCGATGACTGTGACTCCCTCTCGTCAAAGATTCTCCATTCTGTCTTTGTTATGTGCGGTTTTCGTAGCGTCGAAAACTCTTTACCGAGAATTTCAATTTACCTCGTTCGACGGAAACCTCTCGATCTCGCGTTTGCTTAGAAATTGGATATTTAGTGGCGGGAACGTCAGGACTTTGACACTCTTTCGAATCACGAATTTCTAGCTAAAGGCAGGGTTCTAGTTTCAATGAAAAATCGAGTTTTTCCATCGATTGCACTGTTTAGCAGCTGGTGTTTTTAAAATTGTAATGTCTTACGTTCGATTGGCAACGGCATGGAAATTTTGTCGGGTGGAAACGCAAAGGAAAAAGTTGCTATTTACGAAAGCTATAAACGCGAGGAAACTGATTAATCGTAAGTAAGATGCATCGGAAACGCTCGAGAGAGTCGCGTAACGCTGCCTAGACGCGTTAAGAGTTTTTCTCCGCCGCGGCGTTAGCATTCTTCTCAGGGCTTATAACACGGTCGAGGTCAAAGTTCTAGCAGGGTCGTATCTGCTCAACGCCGCGTAAACATACATATATGTATAAGAAGGCGAGAACGTACACAGTACACACGTGAGAAAGAGCGCGGTACGGCGCGGCGTGCGCCGTACGAGTAGCGTCCACGATGATGCTTACGGCTTAAAAGCAGAAAAGGAGATTTAGGCCGACGCCGAGTTGGCCGTGTTGAGCGCGGAACCGAGCAAAGTGGATAGAGGAAACACCTACCTCTTCGCGTAGTCATCGAGAACCTGGCTCGAAAATGCGTTCCCATCGGAAATCTGATTTATGTACTTTCCTTGAAAGTCGATAAAACGACCATGAGAACGCATCGTGTTCTCATTTACCTCGAATCCCTCTGCAAATAGTTGAACGTCTGGAAAGGAAACGCGACTTGATCGTTCGCAAGAGGTGATTGTAAGTACTAAAACAAACCGTGGCTAAATGATCTCTGTACAATGTTCGCAAGGAAGATCCGTCTCGATTCTCAGGATCGCCTATAGTCGACCCTCTAGATATCTACCACGTAGTAAGATAGCCTAATTAAAGGACCGAAGTTCAACCTTAACCGGTAAGTCGTAGTCGGTTCGTTTATATCCCGCGGAAGGACGGACCAAACGATTTCAAAAATGCGCGATGAGATAAAATAATTAAAAATTTGATAACGCGTCAAAGTGTGGAAGTAGGCATACACGGGGTTTTATATTCTCGACTGCGTTCGATGGGAACCGTAACCGTATTCGAAAAGAATGCGGTCTACGAGGCAACGATAACGATCGCGATAGCCGTAGAGAAAGATTATCGAAGCCGCGGCACGTGAAACTGCTCGACGTACGATTATTGTCGGCGTGCCATACGAACACGTACCTTTTCCGATTTCCGACAACTCTGTTCAAAGTAGCACGTAAAATCGAACATCTCTTTCTCTGTGCGCAGCGTTCCAACTTAAATAACTAAAAAGCTAAACGTATTCACGCGTTACGACTTGTTTCGGCCGCCAAACATCGTAACGAGACTATACGAACATGAGCCGATCGTAGATATACACATACGTACGAGATGTAAGATTTTTACTCTTACTTGCCCAAAGGGAAACATTCGTATTCGTAATTGCACGCGAGCTTTTTCCCAGGAGCAAAGGTCTCACTCGGAGAACCGATACTCATACGTGACCCACACGCTTAACCTTTCCTCTTTCCCTCTGCAGTCTGAAACGTTTGAAGCTCGATTTACTTCGAGGTACTTTCAATCTACTTGGAATCATTCGTGTCTCGGTTCGAAACGATTTTATCCCGGCG